CACGGTTTGCAATTGCGCCTTGAGTATTTCACTCTTGAGAAATTCCCATCCATCCGTAACTCCCTTGTCTTTTAGTATCTGTGTCCACGGAATGCTGCTCAGTGTTTCCTTCATTTTTTGGAAATCAGCTCTCCTAAAGTCCAAAATGGGGGTTTGACTTGTCTTAGTTTCGGCCTTCCTTTGTACCTCAAATTGCAGGAGCACATGGTCACTTGCCCCTAAGGATCCTACACTTCAACCGCATCGATCAGGTCCTCCGCATTTGTTAGGATGAGATCAAGAGTAGCCAACCCCCTTGTTGCCTCTTCTACCTTCTGGACCATGAAATTGTCTGCAAGGCAAGCGAGGAATTTGTTGGACCTTGTACTCTTGGCCGAGTTTGTTTTCCAGCAAATATCGGGATAGTTGAAATCGCCCATGATCCTGTTTTGTCAACTGTTGGCAGAAGACTTCATCAAGTTCTTCCTCCTGGCTTGGAGGTCTGTAGTAGACGCCTACAATGACATCCTTTTGAGTCCCAGTACCCTTGATTCTTATCCAGATGCTTTCAGGCTGGTTTCCCAGATTGCTGTCTTGCATCTCTTCTGCAGCATAAGAGTTTTTGACATATAAGGCTACTCCACCTCCTCTCCGCTTTGTTCGGTTTCTGTGAAAGAGGTTATACCCCTCGATATCTACATTCCAGCGATAGGAGTCATCCCACCAGGTTTCAGTGATCCCTATGATATCATATTTGTGGTGTTGTGCTAAAAGTTGGAGTTCGTCTTGTTTATTTCCCATGCTCTGTGCATTAGTGTAAAGACATGTGAGCCCCTGAGATCTTCCCCTGAGCTGTTTAATTGGGATTATTGTGCTTTTGGTACTTGGTCCTCGTTGTGTTTGTGCAGCCCTCCATTTAGCCTTCTGGCGGTTCCCTGACATTGTGGGTAAAGTAGTGTTCGCAAGGCTGTTGTCCCCCTCCCCCGGTGGACCTAGTTTAAAGTGCGTCTAATGAGGTTTGCGAGTCTGTGAGCAAAAAGGTGTTTTCCTACTTGTGCGAGATGCACCCCATCCCTTGCCAGTAGGCCATCCTCCTGGAAAAGCAGGCCATGGTCGAGGAAGCCAAAGCGTTCCTCCTGACACCATTTTCTAAGCCACTCATTGACCTGTACTATTTTTCTGGCCTTTGTAGGACCGTGTCTTACAACTGGGAGGAGGGATGAAAAGACCACCTGTACATTACATTGTTTTAGCATGGTTCCGAGAGCTCAAAAATCATTTATGATCTTTTGAAAAGTATGCCTAGCAGTATCATTGGTTCCTACATGAATCAACCTGAGGGGCGGACGATGATGGGGCTTGAGGAGCCTGGTGAGCCTCTGAGTGATATGGTGTATTTTTGCTCCCGGTAGGCAGCATATTTCTCGAGCCATCCCATCTGGTCTGGAAATGACGGCTTCTGTTCCTCTAAGGAGGGAGTCGCCTACTACCAAGACCTGTTTACTTTCAGGATAGATAAGAAAATTGTTGAAGGATCTAAAGATTCCTAGAGATTTCTCTATAAGATTATTTCCCAAGTCTTCCAGCACAAATTATAACTTATAGGAAACAAAGTGTGCAGATGGGACCAAACTGGGAGGGAGAGTAAATACTCCACTCCAGAGGACAGGATCAAAATTCAAAATGACTTAGAGAGCAGATTGGCCAAAACTAACACAATGAATGTCAACAAGGACAAATGTAAGATACAACACTTATTTTATTTATTTATTTATTTCAAACATTTGTACCCCATCCTTCTCAGCACCCGAGGGGGGACTCAGGGCGGCTTACACCGGCAACAATTCAATGCCAACACATAACATAGCAATAAAACACAATTAAAACATTGATTAAAAAATTAAGTATAAATAGGCAGTTAAAATATTATTAACAATAATATGGCCACATCCAAATTCGATTCAACATTCAGGGACTTAGTCCAAAGTCTGTCCATTATTAGTTCACATACATCAACTGTGATTGCTGCTAAGCCTGCTGTCCAAATGCCTGATCCCACAACTACGTTTTGAGCTTTTTCCTGAAGGAAAGGAGAGATGGCACCAACCTAATTTCACTGGGGAATGAGTTCCACAGACAGGGAGCCACCACTGAGAAGGCCCTGTCTCTCGTTTCAACCAACCGCGTTTGCGAAAAAGGCGGGATCAAGAGCAAGGCCTCCCCGGATGATTTTAAATTCCGAGGTGGAATGTAGAGGGAGAGGCGTTCAAACAAGTAGGCTGGGCCGAAACCGTATAGGGCTTTATAGGCCAAAACTAACACTTTGAATTGTGCTCAGAACTAGACCGGCAGCCAGTGGAGCTGACGTAACAGGGGGTGGTATGTTCCCTGTATGCCGCTCCAGTGAGCAGTCTAGCTGCCGCCCGTTGGACAAGTTGAAGTTTCTGAACAGTCTTCAAAGGCAACCCCACGTAGAGTGTGTTGCAGTAATCTAGTCAGGTTGTAACAAGAGCATGGACCACCGTGGCCAGATCAGACTTCCTAAAGTACGGGCACAGCTAGCGCACAAGTTTTAACTGCAAAAGCTCCCCTGGCCACCACTGAGATCTGGGGTTCCAGGCTCAGCGATGAATCCAGGATCATTCCCAAGCTGCGAACCTGTGCCTTCAGGGGGAGTGTGACCCCATCCAGCACAGGCTGTAACCCTAGCCCCTGTTTGGCCTTTCGACTGACCAGGAGGACCTCTGTCTTATCTGGATTCAGTTTCAATGTGTTAGCCCTCATCTCGTCCGACACAGGTCTGGACAGCCTCCTTAGTAACAGGTGGGAAGGAGTGACAGAGTTAGACGTCATGTGCATACAGATAACACTGTACTCCGAAACTTTGGATGATCTCCCCCACCAGCTTCATGTAGGCAGAAAAATGAAAAACAGAGACAGGATAGGTAACGCCTGCAGAGACACATGTGGAAAAGATATTGGAGTTTTCGTGGACACCAAACTCAACATGAGCCAAGAGTGTGATGCAGCAGCTAAAAAGTCAATGGGCTGCATCCAAAGGAGCCTACTGTACAGATCGAGGGAAGTTTGCAGACAAAGTTGCTCAGATACGTCTTGAGCTGGACTCCAATTTCACCACAGTACCAGGGGAGGTGATTGAGGCATCTGCTCGTCCAACTTTATGGGATTCTTTTAGGCTTGTTCTTCCTGAGACCGTGGAGGAGGTCCTTGGTGCTGTGAGGGCAACCACGTCGGCTCTAGACCCTTGCCCGTCTTGGCTAATCAAATCAGCCAGGGAGAGGTTGGTTGATTGGTTTGTGTTGATCATTAATGCATCGTTGGAACAGGGGATTTTTCCATCTCGATTGAAACAGGCTGTGGTTCGCCCACTCCTAAAAAAGGTCTCCCTTGACTCCACGGTGCTGAACAACTTCAGACCAATCTCCAACCTCCCTTTCTTGGGCAAGGTGCTGGAGCGGGTGGTCGCCTCCCAGCTCCAGGGTTTTCTAGATGACAACAACTACCTAGATCAGTCACAGTAAGACTTGTGCGCCAGCTGCGACAGTACCTCGCAAAGGTTAATATGGCCGGGGTGGTCCACGCCTTGGTCACCTCTAGATTGGATTACTGTAATGCGCTCTACGTGGGGCTGCCCTTGAAAACGGCTCGGAAATTCCAACTMSTRCAARGYSRYGRGGCCAGGATGTTAACTGGRYCTCCTTACAGAGAGAGGTCAACCCTCCTGTTTAAGGAGCTCCATTGGCTGCCGTTTACCTTCCGATCCCAATTCAAGGTGCAGGTACTTACCTACAAAGCCCTAAACGGTTTGGGACCATCCTACCTGCGTGACCYCATCTCCATCTACGAACCCACGCGCTCCCTTCGTTCATCTGGAGAGGCCCTGCTCGCGATCCCACCTGCGTCGCAGGCACGTTTGGTGGGGACGAGGGACAGGGCCTTTTCTGTGGTTGCCCCCCGACTCTGGAACACCCTCCCCAAAGACATCAGACTAGCACCCACGTTGGCAGTCTTTAGGAAGAGTTTGAAGACCTGGCTTTTCCGATGTGCCTTTCCGGAACAGGAAAACTCCAGCATTTGTCCCAGAAGCACTTCATTAGAATTTTAAGATTCTCTGCACATTGCACTTGCCCTGAAATCCAACATACCACCTGTCACACCCAGCACGTTTTAATTCTGTACCCATTACTTGGCCCGGCCCTAGTTTTTACAGTGTTATGGTGTAATGTTTTGTTGTTATTGCTTTATGTTTTTGATTTTGCTTTGAGTTGTTTTGTTATGCTGTTGTTGTGTTGAGGCCTTGGCCTTTGTAAGCCGCATCGAGTCCTTCGGGAGATGCTAGCAGGGTACAAATAAAGTTTAATAATAATAATAATAATAATAATAATAATAATAATAAGTCCTTGTGTCTCTCTTTTCGGCTTTGGTCAGACCTCTTTACTTGGAATCACACTGAGTCCCATTCTGTTCAAAAGAGATACTGACTCTAAGCTGGAAGGTATCCAGAGGAGGAAGGAAACTAAAACAATCAAAGGTTTGGAGACCATAAATCCCTCTGAGGAGTGTTTTAAAGAGCTGGGCATGTTTAGCCTGCAGAAGAAAAGGTTTAGAGGAGGAGACATGAGAGCCATGTATCATAAGGAAGAGGAAGTAAGATTTTTTCTGCTGCCCTGGAAACTAGGACTCAATGGAGTCATGGGTTCAAATCTCAGGAGAGGAGATTCCATTGAACATTAGGAAGAACTTCCTGGCCATAAGAAGAGGTTCCACTTGAACCTGACAAGGAACTTTCGGCTGTTCAGCCATGGAATGTAGTGCTTCGTATTGTGATGGAACCTCCTTCTCTGGAGGTTTTCTGTTGGGAGCAATTCGATTGTGAATTCCACCATTGCAAGGGGTTGGGTGGCTCTTGTGATCTCTTTCAACTCTAGGATCTAGGACTTGGAAAACGCTTATTTGAAACTGCATATTTGCTATGTTATCTGTATCTTTCTTTCTTTTAGGGACTAATGAAGATACCTTCCAAGATTCAGAAGGGCAGGAAGGATCTGAGCTCTTTGAAGAACATAAGTTTTCAGATTTGGAAGAGGAGGATGAGGATGAGGAGGATGACAGTGAGGAGGAGGAAGAGGAAGAGGAGGAGGAGGAGGAGGAGTGGGAGGAGAGCGAAAACAATTCACTGTTAAAGCCCTGGGAAATGAAGAAAACTCCACTCCAAGGGCATTGTCTAAGAAGTGATCCCTCTCCCCATAAGAAAGGAACCACAGCAGCTTTGCCTTCAATGCAGAACGTTGTCTGTAGCAAAGAGCGTACTGTTCAGAATCATAAGACAGGCAGCTCAGGATCAGAAATAAAATGGCCATTGGTCAGCAGTGAAGTTGTGCCCTGTCACAGCTCCTTGAGACTTCACAGCCCAGTTTTGACTTCTAGTTTGCTCTTGGCTTCTGCTAAGAAGGGATCAGTGGCAAAGCCTCAGATGCTTTTGTCAGTGGATTTCTCCATCCACAAAGACACTTGTTCTGGAATAAAGTCAGGCTCTGATAGTGTGGGCAGTTATCAATCAATGCTGACTACAAGTAGCAGGCAAGTGTTGACCAAGCGTGAATTTCCACCTAAGAGGTTCTCATCTTCAGAAGAGACCTCCTTATTGAGAAGCCCCTCCTTGGGGCTGGGGATCTCTTCCTCTCACTGGGTAATATCTCCAAGCCAAGAGGCAGCCCCACCATCTAGTCTGTCCCCACTACCCGAGTGGTCCTTAAACAGATACATTTCTCCAAGTCAAGAGTGGTCATCACAGGCGTACCTTTCACCAGAACGAAGCATGTCTCCTGTGTGGCACGTTTCTCCAGTCAGGGAAATAGCAGCGGTGAGATACCTATCCATGAATGAACTGTTCTCTGGGAGCTGCTCAGAACCGTCACCTTCACAAAACCCACCCTCTTGTCACCTCTCTGAAGCAGTCAAAGAAGTTCATAGCTTGTCTAAAACTCAGCCTGAAATATCACCTCTGATGCCTCTACCTCACTGGTCCTTTGACAAAAGTACAGAGCTGTATGAAGAACCTAAAATGGTAAGCTCTATAATTTTCACATCAGGGATCTGCAAATGGATTGCATTCAATTAAGGAAAATATTTTTAAGAGAAGGGATGACTTCTTTAAAAAAAAAAAAGAATGATGGAAATAAATGAGTAGGAAGATGCAATGGAAATCTGGTGTTATCCTTTTGAGTTACTTTTTTGAAAAATTAGGACCTTGTTAAACTAATTCCGTTTAAGCTAATTCAGGTCAAATCTGTGCTTTTGAAGTCGCTTTATGTTAAAAGCCTGAGTGTGGAGATAACTATCGACATGAAGAGTTATTTCACCATTTATTTTTTGCAGTATAGTTTTTAAAACTTTTTCACACTTTATTTTTTTAAAAGTGATTATTTTGGGTTCATAAAAAGGTTAAAACTTATTATATATAATATGTGCAGCTGTAAACAGAAGTAGAGGATAAGGCAGCACATGCGATCATACAGACAGAGAACTTTTTAAAAAGTTTTAAACTTATAGCTTACATAAAAATTAAAAACCGTATAATCTTTCTTCATCAGCACCAGAGGAATAGCCCTCCCTTAGAACAAAAATCTACAGGATTATCTTAAATTTGTTTTTTGCACCAATTTAAGAATACCTAAGTTACATAATGATTGTACTACCCTGAGAAATAATGTCACTCCTTTTATGATATATGGTAACATTCTGAGAGATTTATTTATTTATTTGGGATATTTCTATATTGCCTTTCTCCAAGGACTCAAGGTGGTTTACAACCATTGTTAAAAATAACAATACAAAATAACTCATTCAAATAATTCCAAATCAGTCCATATTGGATGTAAAATTATCAATTAAACAGTCTAAAATACCCAGGGAGGTAAATTGTGATTATAAAGTGTAGGTCCCAGGCTTCTGTCATGTCACCATAACTTAAAAGCTATTCCACACAGGAAAGTTTTCAAGTTTTTCCCAAAGGCCAAGAGCGGGGGATATATATATATATATATATATATATATATATATATATATATATGCTGATGTTAGGAGTTTAATAAATATTTACCTACTTTTGAATTCAGAAAAGTAAATACTGTAGAACAACGACTTTCAAAGTAAGGCTGCGCAATTAAACAGGAAATAACACTTTCAAACCAGGAACAGAAAATGTTTCAAATTGTGTTACACACATAGTGTTTGTTATTTAAGATACAGAATGGGGGACGCCTGGCTCGAGAGCAGTACATGTGAAAAAGATCTTGGAGTCCTCATGGGGAGGAAGGGGAACATAAGCCAGGAATGTCATGCGGTGGCAAAAAAGCCAATGGGATTTTGGCCTGCATCAATAGGAGTATAGTGTCTAGATCCACCCCACATCTGGAAAACTGTGTCCAATTCCGGGCACCACAATTGAAGGGACTCTAAGCTGGAATGTGTCCAGAGGAGGGCGGCTAAAATGATCAAGGGTCTGGAGAACAAGCCCTATGAGGACAGAGCAGCTGAAAGAGCTGGGCATGTTTAGCCTTCAGAAGAGAAGGCTGAGAGGAGACATGACAGGGGCCATGGATCAAGATGGGAGGGTAAGTAATAGGGAGGAGGGAGTAAACTTGTTTTCTGCTGGCCTGGAGACTAGGATGCGGAACAATGGCTTCAAACTACAGGAAAAGAGATTCCACTTGAACATTAGGAAAAACTTCCTAATTGTGAGAGCTGTTCAGCAGTGGAACTCTCTGCCCTAGAGCATGTTGGAAGCTCCTTCTTTGGAGGCTTTTAAACAGAGGCTGGATGGCCACCTGTCAGGGTGCTTTGAATGCAATTTTTCCTGCTTCTTGGCATAATGGGGTTGGACTGGATGGCCCACGAGGTCTCTTTCAAGTCAATGATTCTATGAGTCTTATGATCCTACGATTCTATGATTCTATTTTAGGCCCCTTCTACACTGTCATATAATCAAATCAGACAATCCACATGATCCATTTTGAACTTGATTATATGAGTCTACACTGGCATATCATCCTGTTCAAAGCAGATAATCTGGATTTTATATGGCAGTGTAGAAGGGGCCTTAGAGTAACAGTCCAAGCTGTGGCTGCAAGTTGAATGACGTGTCTATAATCTCCTGTCATTACAGAAGGCAAAATTGAGGAAATGTTCTCCAGACATTATGAATCAACTTCTCTGTATGAGACCTTTGCAATCACCCCATGAAATGTGCAACTGTAATCCAAGTCATGTGGGAGAGCGCATCTTCAGTCATCTCCCACTGCACTCCCAGCAGCTTCCCTGGAACCCTTGTCCTATGATTCCCATTGGGGGCATCCAGATGGTTCAAGCGAGGCACATTGGTCACCCCAGCTTGCGGGGTAGATCAGTGATGTCCCTGCAAGCCAGCTCTTTTGCACACGACAACTTCACTGAAAACGGACAAACAAAAGGAAAGGGCGGAAAAACTCCTTATTCACCAGCAGACCCTCCATTCCAATGCAGCAGCTACTTGGAAGAGAAAGTCAGGACAAGTGAGTTCCAGCAAAAGCTGGCCAAAGTAAGTACATGTCCTGAACCTGGCAGCTCAGAGCAGGGAAATCGTACTGCCGTCAGAATTGGTTCCTGCTCACAGGATGAAGCCTCTCCAAAACCTTATGCTATTGGAGAAGACAATTCTAGCAAGGAGGAGGGGAACAAACAGCACAGCAGCTCACATACCTCTGGGAATCCCACCTGCGCTTTCATGCCCACTCAGCCCCTGGACAGGAGCAGCAGCACGAGTTGCTTGTCGGAGGCCCTGCTGAGCCGCCCGCCATCCCCTCTGTCCATCCGGAGAAGGAGCCTCTCGGGGGAGGCAGTGTCCGCAAGTGGGGAGCACCAGAGGAATCGTCCTCCCTTAGAACAAGCCTCCGTTGGCCTCACTTCCAGGCCAAGGGATAACAATGCAGAAAGCACTTAAGTGCTCTCTTCTTCTTTTTCTACAGGCTTTCCCAGGGTGCTTCCAGGCAGCACCAAAACATGGGATTAATATGTGGGATAAAAAAAACTGGGACCTCAGAGCAGGTCCCCATTCTGTGTCTGGAGGGTGAGCAGGAGACATCCACCGGTAGTTTGCTTTTTTTTTTTTTTAAATCACTTGTTATGTGCTGATGCTTATATGCACACATGCAAATATCCTAATACAAATACGGAGAGATTCTGATGTGCACATATACACATCAGCGCATAACAGCGGGGATGTTTTTTTAAAATGCTGCCGGATTTCTCTCTTTTCCCAATTGCTTGTTTCAGATTATTAAGTTTAAAATAAACACTTTTAGAGACCTCTAATGGCTCCCTGCTTCTCCTCTCTTGAAACCAGCTGTAAATGAGCTGTGCCTCCATGGGAGCCCTGACATCTGATCAGCTGTTTCAGGCTTTTTAACACTAGCACAGGTGGGAAGTAAAAGAGAGAAATCCCACAGGGGTAAAAGAGAGAAATCCCGAGCTTTACATGACTGCAGGGCCACACACTCATGGGGAAATCCGCTTTTTTTCACCCGGAACAGGGATAAAGTAGGACTGTTTTGAAACAAGTTTTTCCCTCTGTTCCTGCGATTGAGCGTGCATTTAGCACAAACGTCACCTTTTAAACTCATTCTCTCCCAAATTATAGGTACTGTGTGGAAGTGCCCCAGTTAATCGACAAAGCTTTGTCACGTTTGGTTTTAGAACAGGCATGGACCAACTTTGGCCCTCCCTCCAGGTGTTTTGGACTGCAACTCACACAATTCCTAACAGCCCATAGGCTGTTAGGAATTGTGGGAGTTGTAGTCTAAAACACTTGGAGGGAAGCTCAAAGTTGGCCCATGCCTGCATTAAAATAATGATTAGGAAAGAGAAAACTCTCACATCCAACCAGACCTGCAGAGCCTGTTGCTGGTTTTTCTCCCTCCCTCCCTCAATTCTTTTTCTCTTTCAGTCTGATATTACACGTACCTGTGCCTTTTCTATATCTTTTTGTTGCTTGAAATACACACACAAACACACGCACAAATACAAAACAATGATTTGGGGTGTAAAAGAAGAAGAAGAAAAGAATTTTGGAAAGGTAGTGTCTCTTTCTATAAGTTTGATCAATGCAGGCAAGGAAAGGGTTTGAAATCATTTCCAAAGGATGCACTGAAACGTTAGGAAGAGAAACACCTCTTTAAAAGATAGTGATTATCCTGCTCCCTTGTACATATTGTTGAAATACTACCCCCAGTACTTATTAATTGCTTTCTATAATATTTTGCAAGGTAGTTGCTATATTTTGTAATTATAGCTTTTTAATTATTTGCATTCTCTGATTGCCTATTAAATGTGCTTTAAGGAGAGCTATTACTGCTTCAGTTTGGGGGGAAAAGAGAGAAGTGTTTACTTTTGAATTGTAAGTGAAACTAGCACTTATTTTGTATGTGAATGTTGGTCTTGAAAGAGCAATTCTAACCCGCCCCGCCCCCCGACACCCAAGAAAGGGCCTTTGAATGTGCCTCCCTTGTGTAAAAAAGCACTTTTTTTAAGACAAAAAGAAAAAGGGATACATCGCCACATGTACCATTCCTTTCTTGCCCTCCTCTGCAAAAGGAAAACAAAGGAATTGCAAGGAAATGGAATCTCTTAAATGTAAAAATACCAAAATAGAAAATGGTGGAGATCCAGGGTAGGTGCCTTGATACCTTCCTGGTGGCGCAATGGGTTAAACCCTTGTGCCGACAGGGCTGAAGACCAACAGTTCGGAGGTTTGAATCCGGGGAGAGTGGGTTCAGCTCCCTCTGTCAGTTCCAGCTCCCCATGCAGGACCATGAGAGAAGCCTCCCACAAGGATGGTAAAACATCAATCATCCGGGCGTCCCCTGGGCAACGTCCTTGCAGACAGCCATTTTTCTCACACCAGGAGCAACTTGCAGTTTTTCAAGTCGCTCCCGACACACACAGAAAAACCCTTTCAGATATTTTTGCTGATGACATCTACCTTCACTTTGTGTTTCTCATTCAATAAGATATATTGCCCGAATCATCTGAAGGGGTCTAGGTTGCCTTTCCATGTGTAGCTCTTTGCTTTCTATTAGCCATTCCTGCTTTAAAACGGCATTCTGGGTGTGGCAGCTTTATTCCATATGCACAATCCCTGGCAGGTGTTGTACCTGGCTAGATACAGCATCATCGTCGTCGTCGTCATTCAGGCTTCTCAGCTATGAGGCCTGGATTCTTTGATTCCTTGGATCTCACCTTGTGTAAGTTAGCTTTCGAGTCTGATGCCCCCCCCCCCTCCCGCTATAGAAAATCCTGTTTGATCTCACTTCTGGAAATGTTTAAGGGGGAATATTAAGAAGACAGCTAGAATCCTGTGCTGGACATTTGTGAGCAGGAAAGTTTTGTGAAATCTGTATCTAGGAGAGAAATGCTGTTACGTTGTCATATATTAGAATCAGTAAATTGCTATTATGCAGTGGGACCAACGTACACTGGGCACTCTTGCCTGTGTCCCGTTACACATTTTCACTCTTCACTAACAGTCTTTCTTAACCCGCTCTAGCTAAGCATATGTAAAGTTAGGTCACGTAGGCAATGGTATACATTTCCAGATGGCATAACCAATCAGGTTTGCTTAACTATATTCGTCAAGCATTCTAGATACAGATCATTTTCCATAGCAGCCTTCTGCTACATGCTAGACTAGGCCTGGGCCAATTTCAGCCCTCCCTCCAGGTGTTTTGGACTCTAGCTCCAAAACACCTAGAGAGAGGGCCGATGTTGGCCCAGGCCTGTGCTAAACTTTACCCCCATCTACACTGATTATCTACACAGGCTTTGGCTCCATCTACACTGACCTTGACCCCAACTACACTGACCATCAACACTGCCTTTGCCTCCATCTACACTGACCAATCTACACTGACTTTGGCCCCATCTCCACTGGCCATCTACACTGGCTTTGGCCCCATCTGCACTGACCATCTGCTGAAGTGGACTCAGTTGAGGGCATCCTCGTTGGGCCGGATCTGACCCGCTTTATTTGTCTACATAGAACTGCCCTTTGGTTCATACGATCCTCTGACAGTGCTGTTTATTAGAATGCTGATGTGGGTCGTAGTCCAGCACCACTGGAGTCTGGCAGGCTAAAACCTTTTAATCTTTATTTTAAAGATTAAGATATGTTTGAGACAGAGTCACGGGGTGCTGTGATTTTTTTAAACTGTTTTGGTGGATTTTAACTGATTTTTTTTTCATGGTGCTTGTGTTTGATTCTGTTTTAATTTTTGTATATTTATATGTTTTAAATTGTGTAGTAATGCTTTTCTGTCAAGCTGTGTTGAGTCCCCTTTGGGGAGATAAAGTGGGGTATAAATAAATAAATAAATAAATAAATATAATAGTAGTAATAGTAATAATACTAGAGGCCATCATGTTTGGAGAGTGCTCCGATAGGGAATGTGTCTATGATTCCAGCCATTGAGAGCTTTCTTGCTCATATTTCGGTTGGCCTTGAACCATCCTTGTTATTTCTGGTTGTCAGATTTGTCTTTGAACTATTTGTCTTTGTCACTTTTCATCCGCAGAAGAAATTAAGGAATTGTTTTCCTTCTTCAACGTGTTTTTTCCTCTCACACCCCTAGTTTGGAATGAAATATTACAAATGTGTATTGTCGAAGGCTTTCATGGCTGGAATCACTCAGTTCTTGTGGGTTTTTTCGGGCTATATGGCCATGTTCTAGAGGCATTTCTCCTGATGTTTCGCCTGCATCTATGGCAAGCATCCTCAGAGAGACCTCACCTCTGAGGATGCTTGCCATAGATGCAGGCGAAACGTCAGGAGAAATGCCTCTAGAACATGGCGATATAGCCCGAAAAAACCCACAAGAACTGAGGATTACAAATGTGGTTCCATACAATATGTAGGGTATTTCAGATCAATTAGTTGCCATTGCAAATTAGAACATAGGCATACTTTAAATTTTTTTATAAAGTAGCCATTCAGAAAATTAATCAGTTTGCTAACAAACAGGTCAAGGTCAAGGTAGAGGTTTCCCCTTGACATGAAGTGTAGTCATGTCCAACTATGGGACTTCGGCGCTCACCTCCACTTCTAAGCCAAAGAGCTGGTATTGTCTGTAGATGCCTCCAAGGTCATCTGGCCGCTGGCATGACTGCATGGGCACCGTTACCTTCCCACCAGAGCGGTACCTATTGATCTACTCACATTTGCATGTTTTTAAACTGCTAGGTTGGCAGAAGTTGGGCCTAAGAGTGGGAGCTCACCCTGCTCCCTGGATTTGAACCACTGACCTTTCTGTCAGCTAGTTCATCAGCTCAGCGGTTTAACCTGCTGCACCACCAGGGAGCCCAACCAAACAGGTACCACATGAGAAAAACCAGAGCCCTGTGTTAATAATGTTTACTAATGCAATTGTCAAAACAAATGTTTACTATGGTAGAGAGAAGCTTGACATTTATTTAGAAGATCTTTTGGCATTGCATAGAATTTTTACAAGCACACTTTCAAAATTAACTAGGCAGAACAAGTTTTACAAATATTTAACCAATTGCCCAGGCCTTGCTTCTTTCTGTGATGTTCCATTAATAAATGCTTCAACAAAACAATATGCTTGCTTGGGGAAAATGCAAATAAATCCAAAATGCTGCTGGCTTTTTAAAGAAGGCTGCAAAAGTCATGGTCTGTTGCCACTGCAGAGCTAAATACTATGAAATGTGTCTGGTGTGAATGGAATAATATTGTGTATCCAATTGTGATTCCAGAAAAGGGTGGTGGTGGGTACTCTGTTTTATTAGATTTTGGTGGGTTCGTCTTCTTTTTAAATGAAAAATAACATTGAAATTGTGAAAGCAACCAAATCAACGCTGGAATTTTAAGAGTTCACTGCAAAACTCTATTCATGATCTACAATGTTTTTTCTTTCTTTATGTACTTCTGTTTCCCATACCTTCTTCAGTGCGATGGTCTAGAATAATCTTGCAGTTGGGTTTGCAGCAAAGCCCAGCACCACGGCCATATTGAAGATATTATTATTATTATTATTATTATTATTATTATTATTATTATTATTATTATTATTGTATACCTCGCTTTATCTC